TTGCTCGTCTACGACCTTGCCTTGGTCTTCGGCCTGGACTTCCAGTTTCCAAAAAACGGTTCCAGATCCTTTAAATCACACTTTGTGACACTCCAATGGCCTGCGCTACTTCGGCTTGAGTTTGGCCCCCTTTTAACCTACCAATAACTCTCCAAGCTTCTGAATCGGTTAAATGACTTCGCTGAGACATCGTACTCATCGAAACAAAGCAGTCACTGAATGCTGATCATCCTTGTCTTCATTGTCTTTTATTCAGTTTAAAGTCAAATTTCATTCGCTGCCCCTGAAGCGACGTTTTTGACGTCGAACTCAAAATTAGCATACTCCACAGTTTGAAAACCAGAAAAATTTGCATTTGTGATTCTCTTCTTCCATTTTCGGCAAAAAAAAAAATTCGCTTAGATCTTTATTTTTATATAAAACTTATAATATCCTTTAATTGTTTTGAGCAATGTACAATGTTTTCTCTTTGTTTCTTTTCTCCCACGATGTTTCGTACTACGACGACGAGGATTTCCGCGGGCACCTGAATTATTAGTGTGGGTGAATGTAAAGTTGAACTGGTACATAAAACTTCACATTTTTAACAGATGTCCGATAACCGAGTGTAATAGTAATACCTGCAAAATGTCGATGAAATATGAATTAGATAGAATATATGGATTTATTTTGTTCCGGAAAATTTATGGATTTATTCCTTTCTTGTTTTAGTGACCTTCGTATAATCTCAAGAAACGTTTTAAGGAATATGTTTGCTTCCAGCAGTGCAAAGGGATGTATTCCTTACTAAAAGAACTTATAAGTATTACTTACGGATAATAAAAATTTCTGTATATATCTTATCTTATATATGCAATTCGTCTTTTCGTATTTGGTTCTTACTGAAGCATCATTTTATGAATTTAAGCTATAATTTGTTTAAGAATACCTACTGAATATGCATAAAACTCATCTGGCACATTGTATTGAATCAAGCAGGCTTATAATTTATACCTATGAGAGATAAATACTTTTTTATACTATACGAGCTCAGAGTCGGTCAATATTAACTGCAAGACGAGTATAGCGACCACGTTGTCGACATGTGAAATCCTAAAGTTCAAAAAGCAAAAATTGTAGCTATTGAAATGGCCAGGACAAGGAAAGTACGGTGTGAGAGGGGCTGAGAAATAATCTTAAACGTTTCTATTACAAAGCTATGGGCATTATCCTATTGAAGAGTACCTTCGTGATTGCTTTTAATGAAATCTATAACTTCGGTCTTCATGATCTCCTTAATATAGCAATTGCTGATGAGAATACTTTGAATTGTTAGCGGACGTGATAGCTCATCATAAATTATAGCGTTCCCGACCATCATGCTTAGCGATTATTCAGTACAATACACTTTACGCCTAGAGCTCCGAAAATGCAGGAGCGACACCTGATAATCATGTTGTTGTTGTTATGACTCATCTCCTTTAACAGACCACTGATAGTAACATCAGAAATTCCCACAAAATTCATCGCGCCATAAGTGCAAGTTTGCGCTTGTCGCTGGCAAGCGTTGAGCTCCATATAATGGCAGAACGACCTCGCTTATTTCCGCCAATGGAGAACACTCCAGGTGGACTGGTCCGAGGGTTTCCACCCCTTTCTTCCCTTACCACTAAACTCTCAAGATGACTTCCGACTCGCCGCATATTTAGAGTGTTCTCATGCAGCATGGATACTATACAATTACAGACATCCGTGCCTTCTCCGAGATTTGAACTCGAGATCTTTTGTACTGTCGCTAATCACTAACCCGGTTGAGCGAACTGATAATCATTGTGGGGATATCGCAAAACTTTATGTTACCATGGTTTCACATTCCACTTGTGATGTTAGTATTCGCCAAAGAGCAAAAGTATAAACATACAAAGTGTCACATTTACTCAGCTATATAATGCCTGAATTTGTGTTTGTTTTTAAGAATGAAATTACGATCTCTATACTTTCAATAATGTGTCCGGGAGTTTCGCTTATAATCTCTTATATGTTAAGATGCAACAAACGCAAAATATGTTTTCTATGTCTTTTGTGCTTTTCCTTATAGGGGATAACATGACTAAACCAGTATTGTTTTGATTTCTTTTACATATTACACTTTCAACATTAACTCTTGAATGCCTTTGAATGAAATTATTTGAAAGAGAGGGATTTTTAGTTTTATATATTTTTTAGTAAAGCAACAATTTATGGCCTTCTAATTCTAAACTGTGTTTCCGTTTCGTTTTTTGGTAGTTGAAAATGGTTTGTTGCTTGCAATTCCAATTAAGTAAATATAAATTTTCCAGATGACTGGAACATCGATATTTTATTATATATTATTAATAGATATTACAGATAGTTATTAATAGATATTTTTATTGATAATTTGAAATATCATAAAAATATTCTAAAAACGTGAGAACCGCATAAGAAACTATCATGCGGATCAAAAAGAACTAAATTTTTAAGTTAACAGGTAAACATGAAAACACCTTGAATAAGCTTAACAAGAGCGTGAGATTAAACAAGAGTGATAACAAGGTATTACAGGCATATTATAGCCATTTTTGTATAATAAACGAAGTATTTTTAGAAAACAATTTACCTAAAGAATTCCTTGAAGAATGTAATAAGCTAAAATTTTAAAACACCTAGAACATTTTTTCATTTAGAAAGTTGCTGGTGTCGCAAATTTCCCGAATGTTAAAAAAAAAATGTCAACACTTAAAATTTCATGCACTTATTCTTTTAAATCTTGTTCAAGAAAATCAGAAGAGCGTGTAATCTTAGCATATCCTAAAATGGAACATTTTGACTTTTAAAAATAACCCCTGCTGGCAATAAGTTTTCTTTCAGTATAGAAAAGCCGCCGTAAAAATGTCTTAATTCTACTATTTTTACACGCCGATCGAAACCATGTGAATCGGTATGTTCTTACACTTAGAGTTCCTTATATCAATATACTGAGGTTTTGTTTTCCTTGTTTCAAATTCGAGATTGTTTTTCAGTTATATATTAAGGAGAGAGAAACATATATATTGTGTGTCTTAGTAATTAACTAATGATAAAAACATGGCATAAATTCCGCATGTATTATTCATAAATGATTTTCTGCAGAATTAAATTTCAAGCACTGAGAAAAAGTGAAGTTCAATTAATAAAAATATTGTGACATAAATATCCTTTATTATCGAATTCACATAGATTCTATTCCTTTCATAGTGCCCATTCTCCGTGACAACTGTTATTCTCCCTTCCTCTGGCTGAAGCAAGTGAATTTTTGTAATTGGATTTTAATTTTATCATGAAAGGTGGCTTTTGTTTTCTTAAATAGAAGTCATTTTCAATGTAAGTCAATATTTAACCTCTAAGAAGAAGTTTGTATTTGTTTTTGATATAAGCCAGTATGCCTTCACAAATTTAGAAATAACTGTATAGAAGCGAAGTCAGAATTTTTTGGTTTAGAAATAAATAATTGGAAAACTTGTAGAACAAATGAAACATTACAGCGCTTCATTTCAGCAACAATTATACTACATCCATGTATTGTAGTAGTAGTAGTAACGGAGGACGTGAGCACCATTCCCCCACCGTTAAGGTTAACCGGTAATAGTTTAGTTTAGTTTAGTTTAGTGACGGAGGACGTGGGCACCATCCCTTTACCGTTATGGTTAATTGGTAATAGCACCACGTCCACCCTTATCTAGAGACTAGTGGGACTACAGGTCATACTTTACAGTACTTACGATATCATACAATATAAATAAACCATACAATTTCCTACATATGCATGATACAGTATATAATCAAACAGGATTATTAAAGCATAATGCTGGTGCGTATACAGTTAAAATGCAAAAGTTAAGATGTAAAATACTAAGTATCGATTAAAGTTATATGACTAAATAATATTATATTATTCATGCATAAAAACCTTAAAAAAATAAAATTAAAAAAATAAAGAAAGAAAATTAAAAAAAAAAAAAAAATACAATATCCTACATATGCATGATACAGTATATAATCAAACAGGATTATTAAAACATAATGCTGGTGCGTGTACAGTTAAAATGCAAAAGGTTAAAATGCAAAATACTAAGTATCAATTAATTATATGATTAAATATTATTATATTATTCATACATAAAAACATTCAAAAAAATAAAATAAATAAAATAAATAAATAAATAAAAATAATAAATAATAAATAAAAATAAGTAAATAAATAATGCGCTGTATATATATATATATATATATATATACATAGAATATGCCATACAAAATAATACACATACACATTAGGAGCAGAATGTGGAATATAGGATCATACAAATACAGGATCAAGTCGTGAGGATCATTGAAAAGTACATACTTAATGTGCTTCACAAATTCAGCCATAAGTATCATTCATACAAATGTAAGCATTCTGGAACAACAAAAACCAATAATGGTGTACCCTCATATTTGCTACAATACACTACACTGGTACAGTAATTTCTTATGAAATATTTTACTTTTACATTTCAGAGACACAAAATTTGATAGAATTTGTACTGAGTGACTATTTGAAAGGGTACGTTAAGACTGTGGTAACTAATAAGCAAAGTAAACATATTGTTTTTTCATAGGGGGTGCATAAGATACAGTACAATGATCATTTCATTAGATCAGTCCGTTATAAGAATATCACTAAAATTTATAAATGTAGCATTAAACCAGAGTTTACCACGAAGATTATGTACTTTGCATCAATGCATTATGCCTATGAATGCTACACCTGGCACAGGTCTATTCCAAGACCTTTAACCTTTTCCATAACCTTGTTAATTTTATTAATCAAGTGCCTCTGCTTGATTAGAAATTTGCAAAAGGCTTGACGATTTTGCGAAGGGAATCTGATATGTAAGCCTTCTGTAAGAGGGCATTTTTCAAGGTAATGCTCCGGAGAGCCTAACTCTCCGCAGGTGCAAAAGCTGGAATCGCTTATTTTAAAATCTCTCAAAATAAAGAGGAAAAGGGCCATGCCCTGAAATATAACGTGTCAGATGGGGATTTCCACAGCATCTATCTTGTGTAACGTAAGAAATATGGTAATAAGTACGACGACCAGTGGTACTATAATCCCATTCTTCTTGCCACTTACTGATTGCTTTGAGACGTAATGCAGATTTCAAATGTGAATGCGGCCAAGGTATGTGAATTTGTTCAGCAGCAATTCCAAAAGCGGCCTCCTTGGCGAGAGTATCTGCAACTTCGTTTCCATATTCACCCATATGTGCCTTTATCCAAGCTAAGTGGATGTCATGGCGTTGATGTTTTCTAAGGTCTTGTTGAATATCTCTAATGATTTTGGATGGGTGTTCTGGATTACTAATCGCATAAATAGCTGAAAGGCTATCAGACTTTATAGTAGCCTTTAGGATTTGGTGGGTTAGCAAGTAGCGAATAGCTTGCGCTATTGCTACTGCTTCCCCTTGAAAGACACTGTTATTGTTAGCCAAATGGCCCTTCCATTGTGCAATGACACTATTTTTTTGTAAGACAGCAAATGCGCTCCCCACATTTCCTTCAATTTTAGATCCATCCGTATAAATTACTATACTCGAGGGGCTACGGTATTCTGTAGGCGGGACATGTAGTCTAATGCCAACACCATAATCCGCAGGGTGAATGCTGTCAGATGTTAGTTTGGTTTCATATTCCTCCGAAGTAAAATTTTCTTCAGCAAATGCTATTGGCTTGTGTAGCTGTATTAACATTTGTCGTGCTGCTTCCTCCTCAGTTCTAATATGCAGTGGGAGCAAACCAGCCAAGACATTTATTGCATCAGTGGAAGTAGTAATATATGCCCGAGTTATTCCTAAGGCAAAAGGGCGCTGAATAGTAGAGAGATGCTTGATTTTTCTCCTCTGCATAGGGAGAGCCCAAATTGCTGCTGCATAAGTTACTAACTTTTCTACAACCGTTGTGTATAAGATCTTTTGAATGTGGTGGTTCAAACCCCACTTGTATCCATAAAATTGTCTTAGTTGTTTGGCGATGGCCAGGGTACGCTTTTTAATAGAGAGAACATGAGGAATCCACGTAAGTTTTTCATCAAAGGTAACACCAAGATATTTTAATTCTTTTACAATTTTGAGCCTCTGACCATTGAGTACAATACGCGGTCTCCTTGCCAAAGAGCCTCCCTTCTTAGGCACCAGTAAAATTTGACACTTATTTTCTGCTATGACTAATTTCAGTTCGTCACAATTTCGCTGGAAAATTTGACAGGCCTCATTGCAGTTCTTTTGCAATTCTTCACGAGAATGTCCCTTGACAACCAAGGCCGCGTCATCGGCATAGGCAAAAATGTTCGTATGCGCAGGCCAGGAAGCATTGAGTAGCTTATTGAAGGTTAAATTCCAGAGTTGAGGACCTGCGCAGGAACCCTGCGGGCATCCTCTCGTCTGTGACTTTTCAATAATTCCCGCTGAATGTATAATCATTATTCTTCGATCCTGTAGATAATGATTTATAGTATTAAAGATATTGCTTGGGCAGCCAGAACTTCTTAGAGCCTGCAAGATCGCTGGCCACCATAAGTTGTCAAATGCACTCTTCAGGTCTAAGCTGATGAGTGCTGTATGGATACCGTGATATTTTGTTGTCCATGATAGCCTCTTTGATATCATGCAAAGCGTGTAAAGTGGAAGTTCCTGGCCTAAATCCATATTGCCTGGGACTGAGGATATTATTAACGTGTAGATAATAGCGTAGTCTAGTCATAAGGAGTTTTTCAAACAGTTTACCAAGAGCCGGAAGTAAACAGATTGGTCGGAAAGATGTGGGTTCCGCTGGATTGCGATCTTTTTTCAAAAACAACACCACTTGTCCGATTTTAAAACGATTTCGGGAATGTACCCGTAGCTAGTAATTTATTGAAAAAGCTAACAAAGATTGTTGGCTTGGCCAAAACGACTGTTTTAACGATTGCATAATCAATGCCATCAGGGCCAGGGGCCTTTTTCTTTGGCAAATGCGCTAATATATGTTTTAGTTCTTTCAATGTAATATCCCTATCCGGTGGCACGTTGGTAGACATCTGTTCTGTACGTATAGTTGCTTGTTGCTTAGAATCTTCGGTTGGGTCATCCTGACTGAAGACGGAATCCAGGATCTGTATTAATGTTTCCCTTGTGTAGTCCTGAGTAACATTTATTCGTGTAGGGATGTGTAACTGGGCAGGCCTAAACAGCTTTCCAGTCATAATCTTATGATGAATACCATAGATGTTTTGTGACTCTGTACAAAAAGCATGCCATGAATTGATTTTAGCCTGCAAAATTGAACGTTTGTACTTCGCTCTTGCCTGTTGATAAATTGGGAGGGTCTTAGCTGGAAGGTTTAGTCTACGCTCAGTCTTTAACCTTCGACGTAATGCGCGACATTGCCTCTGCTGAATACGAAGTTCACTACTCCACCAATTGATCGTAGTCAGTTTTTTAGTACTACGCTGTGGCAATATGTCATCACACACGCTTGCTGTATACACTTTTGTAGAGTCACTGTGAAATTCTCCAATTCGTCTCTAGAGTTCGCTTGAGTTAGCTGTTGTTCAATACCTTCAATCAAATTCTTGACTCTAGTAGTAAAAGCACGTTTACGCCTACCAGGTAGGTTGTAACGACGAATAATATTAATTGTCGTCGGTTGCTCTATTGAGAAAGTAATGTAACGATGGTCGCTTAAGCTAATTTCATCATCATTAACCCTCCAAGTTTTGTATTAATGGCGCAGCTGAGGCTGAAGCTGACCGTCAAATCAGGCCAGCCTTGTGCGTAGATTCTGTCATATGTCGGAGGAGCGTCTGCTGTGTTATGTAAAACAAGATGATTAGCAGACAGAAAATCCTCCAGAAGGCTTCCTTTGTCATTCGTAGAAGCATACCCCCAAACCGTGTTGTGGGCATTATAATCGCCTGTAATTATTTTAAGAGGAATTTTAATCTTTTGCAGGGTATCTGTAAGAAACTGTGTAGTAGCCAAAATATCTGCAGAAGGAGGAGAGTATTGTGAGATAAACAGTAAAGATGCTTCTTGTGCTTCTATAATGATTGCAACATTATCGCGTTCAATTGCTACGATAGCCGGAGACCATTTTTTGTTGCAGTTAATAATAATGGCCCTAGGAGGATATTCTACATTTCCTTGTTGATAAATTGTCCATTGCAATGGAAATCCCACTGCAATTCCGTCTCGCGTGTAAGGTTCCTGAGCCATTATCAGGTCAGCACCAAATTCTGCTGCAAATTGTGCTAGTTGAGCAACTGCTGCTTTTGCTCGCTGTAAATTTATTTGTATACATTTGATAGATAATGTACTGCATATTGTATCTTTATTTATGACGTTTGATAAATCAAGATTAGCAGTATTCTGTATTATCTCGGATTGACTGTACCTTGCGCTGGTATTGTGGGCATTCTGGAGCATAGGCTGGATGGAAGTAGCTGTATTTGGTGCCATAGCGGGAGTTGGCCTCACCACAGTTGATACACTGTGGTTGTTGGGCTGTGCAATCACGGTTCCCATGTTCTTCTGCACAGTAGGAGCAATATTGTTTTCTACTTCTCTGCAGTCAGCTTGCTTATGCCCATATTGCTGGCATCTAAAACATCGCTGGAGGCCAATATGCTCTGAGACTCTATGAGCCTGCCAGCCGAGGAAGATTTTCTGTGCTGCATGATGGCTGCAAAGCCTGTCGGCTCACACTCAAAAAAAAACCCACTTGATTTTGCCTTTACGACGTTCTTGTAATCGGAATAGGGGTTTAAAGGTGGTGCTAGGCATTCCAGTGACGCCGCTGAGTTCTGCGAGTACTTCTTCTGATTGTGTGGATACCGGCAAGTCATGGACGGTGCATCTTGGCTTACGTTTCCATGGACGGGTGACTTCCGCTGGGATATCTTGTTGTTGAAGCTGTTGTTCGAGGATTTCGACATCTTCAGTGGATTTACAGACAACCTCGAAACCTCCTTTGTTGAGCTTAGAAATTCTTTCTATACCTGCCTGTAGCTTGGAAAGTGGTACTTTAGCGTTTAGTAGCTGCGCCTTTAGCTCAGTCTCTGTGACGTCCGCTTTGGGACGTATGTATAGACTTGGATTCTTATGTTTCTTTATAATCTCTGCAAAAGTTGGTCGAGAAGCTGTTGGCAAAGGTGGAGGTGCCTGTAAATCAGGTGGTTGTTGTGCTATCGGTAGAGGCTGAGAGCGAGCCAATTCACAGCAAAGCACTGTTGATGTATTAACACCTGTGTCTATCTTTGTTGGCTTGGCTGCTAATTCTGCACCTTGTAAGGCCAGCGTCTGCAACGCAACCAGGGAGTCTAATAGTCTGGTGCGAAGAACTGTAGGTAAAAGATATTTAGTACTTCTGGTGGTGGCCGCTACCTGTCTAATATCCTCACACAAAATAGCTACTTTCTCTGCGTAAGGCAAATCAGAGGTCAATAAATTAGTGGCGTCTACGTCACTTTGTGAATGCGCGGAATCACCGTCAATTGGAATCACTGATTGACAGGACATGCTGTCCAAGAACTTTCTCAGAGTTGCAAATTATCACACTCGTAGTGTAACTCTTTATCAAATACTTAACGTAAAATAGCTATTGCTTATTGCTGTTATAACAACCATATATGATAAAATTTGGTAACAATAGGTCCCTTTTCACACCCAGTAACAAAAATTACAGTAATTTAAAACATGTAGTAGAATAAGTAAGATATTAAACATAATTAACAGATGAACTATGACTAAAAATTCTCTAAATACAATCAAACTGACTGATTTTTAAGTGCAAGTAGAAACATAAAAATACAAGTAATTAAAAATACAGCAATTAATACAGTAATTAAAAAAGATTAAATAAACATTTCAAGTAATTAAAGGTAAAATACAGAGTGCATAAAGATCAGTTCTCATGTAAAACACATCAAAAGCACGCAACTAGCAAAAGCTTTAAAACTAAATTTTTAGAGTTTGTCGAATAGTGTTCAAAGTTATCGAAAAGTTATTCGACGACGAGAGCTATAATGTCGAAACTGAAGATGAAAACGATGGAATTAAAAACACTATGCAAATCCTGTAAAAATGTTAAAATTTTGAAAAAAAAAAAATAAACATACCAGTTCTTGAAATTCCTGGTTGCAATGGATCCGAAGATATATACATATATTTTAATTAAAATTAATTTCTGGACATGGAATATTTTTAACCGATTTCCTAGGCCTACCGGGGAAACCACGTGGTAGCTAGGCGGGACCCTTCCGTTGCTGTAGCGGCAGAAGTGGTGAACAAAAAACACGGTAAATTGCGACTCTGCCTATTTTCTTTTGTTAGAAAGCACTAAAACACAAAAAATCTGGAGAAATATCACTCACACCACACTTAAAACGATGTATCCAAGGATGCAGGAGATATTCACGCACATTTTGATATATAATACACACGTCGCACTCAAAAACTTCCACTGAAAATTGGGCAAAAACCAAGAGCTCGGCGTGATGGCGTGCTTCCTCGTTGCATGCTCCGGCGTCATCAGCTTAACCGGTAATAGCAAGTACCAACCGTTTTCCGTCAAGAACACTTTGAAATGTGTTTTTAATACCATTAACAATATTTCAGTAGTATCGAATTCAGTGGCCTCTAAAATCATTAACTATATTTATATCTTCTAGTCCTCATCCTATACTGTTCCGGAGAGCTCTTTCATGAAGATAACTTTAGAAAGCTATTTGATACAAGTTACATCAGAGGTACTCAACCAGGGGAGAATTCAATCCGGCGGGGGGATTTCATAGTTTTAGGAAAGAATACGGTCGTCGTTTACTTGCCAGTTAAAATCAGTTTCAGTTTTAGATCATGAACATAAAAACCTTCTTATATTCAAATTTTGGTATTTATCAACATTGCCTATAATTTTTTGTTTAATTTATAAAACAAATAAAATATTTTCTAAATTTAGATAAATGTATATGGAAGGGGTGAATTATAATATAGAAGTGGCGAAAAGGCAAGAAAATGGTTACACGCCAACGGATTAAACTATAGCTCATGACGAAAGTGGTGGAACTGTTCCTGAAAACAATGTGTTTATTGAAAAATTCATCTCTTTCATGAAGAACCTAAAATGAGAAGCAAGTTTTGCCATTCTGTTGGAAGTAACCCTACGCCAGTAGAGCATCATCAAATTGTGCCAAAATCTGAATGAATCGTCTGTTCGATTTCCGAAAGATATGTATTATTTTTTCAATATTACTTACAGGAAGAAGGAAGATCCAACTGACGACAGGTGAACACATATTTTCCTCTGATGATGTCAAGTTTGCAGAAATTTTTAACAGTTTTGATAAAGCATTCATCATACACTTACACATGCGCACTTTTATAAAATGCACTACCTTTTTTTTTTCTTTATAATTTAAACTAAACTCAGTGGCGCAACAGACCCGCCAGCGCAACACACCTGGTGGCGCAGTGGCTAGAGCATCGCGCAGCAGCACCACAGGTCCGGAGTTCGATGCTCGGGCTCGGCAAGGTCGACTCAAGCTTCCATCCCTTAATTTTCATCTTTGGGTCGATAAAATGAGTACCAAGTTCGCTTGGGGAGTAAACACTGGGTGTCCTGCGAGAAGCTGACCCCTTGTTCAGGGCATATACTTACGCACCCTGGGGAC